TTTATATTCTTATACAATTTTATCAATTTAATGAGTTCTTCTAATTTAAATGAAATAAAATTTTAGAATATTTTTCTTTTAATAATTAAGGAATTTGCTAATTTAAGTTTTTATTTGTAACTTAAAAAGAAGGATTACTGTTATTCGAATTTTTTATAATTAATAGAATTATTATATTCATTTTTTTTTGTATTTTCTTTATTATTTTATATTCTTTTTTATTATATTTTAAATGCCCTTTTAATTTTTTATTTGCAAGCTTTTCTAATTTTAATGATATTTAATATATTTCACTATTTTCGTTATTTATCTACAGTTTTTCCAAATTAAACATAAATCTTTTTAAATGAAAACAATTTTTAATTCTTTATATACATTATTTTATAAATATACCAATTTTAACTTAATTATTTTTACCTTTTTCAATTTTACATTCTCATATAATGTTTATAAATCCATTGGATTTTAGACTATTTTTATATAATCTGAAAATATTTCAATGTTTATGAGTTTTTAAAGTAATTTTGATTAATCAAATTTAGTTATTTCTTTAATTATACGCAGAATCGATTAGTTAATTCATTTTTTTTTATATTATTTTATTTTGTATAATTATTTTTTTAAAAAAATAAATTTATTATCTTAGTATTAGTATATATTATTACAAAAATAAATAAATAAAAATATTATAAGAAGTACAAAAATTAATAAATTTTAATATGAATTATTTATTTATAATTGATTCTGTAATTATCCCCTCCCCTATAAGTCCAAATTTCGATTCTGAAAAAAGAGTTTGTATAAATGGCAAACTTATAGGCCCATCTGGATTTGAATAAGTTAATTGCTATGTAGAATATTTTGTAGCTTTTGATAATGTTTTGTAAGTGATGTAAAAGAAATCGTTCTAGATATACTTGTCAATAAGTGTACTGTTTGTTATTTTATGACATGAATAAATGTAATGGGAAATAAGGATTTTCGCCTAATTAAACTTTTGGTATTTAATAACTTTAGGAGTCGAAAATTTATGCAATGTTAGATAATTTCTCATTTGTGTAATGTGTAATGTTTACAAATAAGGCTTTTTCTTTAATTATGATAATAATAAAGTAGTGTTTAATTTAATTTTATTTAGGATTTTTTTTTTAAAACTAAAAACTTAATCTTTTGAGAAACTTTCTTTTGGCTTTATTAATAAAATAATACTTTATAAATATTTTGTATATGATAATTTAAAAATATAAGAAATTTAGATAAAAATGTATATATTTAGTATAAGTAATTTTTTTTATTATGTAATCCTAGTAATGCAGCATTATGTTTTAATTTCAAGGAAAGTAAATTTAGTAAAATTAGATTGTAATTGTGTAGATGAATGTTGTGATGCTAGTTTTTTGCAAAGTATGTTGCTAATAATTTAATGAAAAGAAGTTAGAATAAATACAAAGATAATTATTAGGTTTATTATAAAATTAAAGCTTTTATATTATTACTAATTTAATAAATGTATTAATAGATATTTTAATAAAATTCAATTAAAAAATAATATAAAGCTGTTTCTTAAAGAAAATCAAAAAGTGAAAATATAGGAAATAAAAACACTTTTGGAATTTAAGAATATTACTTAATGTGAAAAATGTTAAGAAATCGTTTTTTTGATTATTCGGTTTATAAACTAGATAATAAAACTGTATACTTAAAATCTATATTGAATTCAGTAATTTTAGTTGTTTATATTTTCTAGCCTTTGTATTAGACGAATTACTAGATATAAAAGTTAATATGAAATTTTTAGTTTGCTTTAGTAATTAAAAATTTTATTGAAAAAATAAAATTTTAATATTTTTTTGTTTAAAATATATAATAATAATTTTTATTTTTATTTTATTTAAAAAATCAAAAATAAAATAAAATTATATAAATTTTTATATTATATAAAAAAAATATAAAAAATAAAAATTATTAAAATAAAAAAATTAATTATTATAATACTTATAGAAAAGATACATTATTTGTTATTAAAAATATCAAATAAATTTTTATTTAGTTAATTCATTGAATTTAATTACTTTTAAATTTATATATTTTAATAATATTTATTTTTTTAAAAATATATTTAAATAAGCTTCCATATCTAAAATTTGAAATTATATTTTTTATATTATTATTGTTATTATAATTATAATTATAATTTTAATTATTATTATTATTATTATTATTATTATTATTATTATTATTATTATTATTATTATTATTACTATTATTATTAATTTTTATTTTTATTATTATTATTATTATTAAATTATTCTTTTGTATTATTTTTTATTTTAATATATTTTTTTAATTAAAATTTTATTTATTCTTAAATTAATTTTATTTAATGTAAATTAAAAATATTATTTACCAAAAATTTAAAACTTAATTCTCTAAAAATAAAAATTAATAAATAAAATAGCGGTTTATATTAATTTAATTATATTTATATATTTTTTAATGAATTATTTTATCCATAAATATATATTATTTCTTATTTTAATTTTTTAAAATTCCAAGTTTATAATATGTTTAGATATCTAAATATACTATTTTTATGTGAGTTTATTTAAAATTTTCATTTAATCTATTAATATGATAAGAAATATTATTTAGGAACTGGATTAAAATTGTCTTTATTTTTTGTTAAGATGAGGCTTTTAAATTAATATTTTGTTAAAAAATAATAAATTATATTTTATAAATATATATAAATCTATAAATATGTTTATATTTATATATATATAAATAATATATTATATTAATTTATAAAAAAATTTTATTATATATATAATTAATTAAAAATATTTTTAAAAAAAAAATTTTATAAACTTTTATAAAAATATTATTATTTTATATTATATATACATAAAATTTTAATAAATATTTTAATTTATAAAAAATTTGAAATATTTTTTTTTATATTAATATAATATTTATTTAATAAAAATAATTTGAATAATAATAATTATTTTTATATAATTATTCTTTTATTTGTAATTATATTTATATATTTATATTTTATATATAGCACTATTAACTAAATATATATGAAAATTTTATATAAAAAATTCATTAATTTCTTAATAATTTTTTCTTTAGAATTATAGAAAAATAGAATAATAGTAATAAAATAATATAATAATAGAATAATATAAATTAATTAATTTTTATATTTGAAACATAAAAATAAAATTAACATTTATTATTTATTTTTTGAGTACATTCATATTTTCATTTTGTTAAATTATCATTTGTAAAAAATATACATTATAAATATAAATAAAAAATAATATATTTTTTTTTTTTATTATATTTAATAAAATTATAAATTTTTTTTGATAATATTTAAATATTTTTATATCATACATTAAATATAAAAGATTATTTTATTTATAATTTGTTAAGTTTTTTAGTTTAAGTTTTATTTTTAAAATTAAAAAATATTTTAAATATATATTAAATTAAAAATTATATATATTTATAATTAATTAATTTTTTTTTTAATAAATATTTAATATTAATTCGAAAATAATAAATAAAAAAAATATAAAAAAAATTACAATAGACTTAAAAAAAATCTGAACATATTTAATAAAATAAAAAATAAATGATTTTTTTGAAAAAAAGCTAATTTTTATAATTATATAAAATAAATATATTTTAAATTTTTAATTATTGTAATTTTTTTAAATAAAAACATATCATATTTTATATGATGTTTTTATTAAAAATCAATTATATATAATAATTAAAAAAAATATCTAAAATAAAAATATAATAAATATAAATAACTTTATAAAAAAAAAAAATAGAAAATTAAAAAAATTATATATATATATATACATATATATATATATATTTATTTATATTATATATATTTATATTATTAATAATTTTAAATAAATAATATTTTTTTTTTTAATGTATTTTTTTTTTAGATAAATTATATAATATAGAATTTCAAATAAATTTAAAAATATTATTATATATAATATAAATAAATAAAAAGTAATAAATTAAATTTATTATATAATTATTAATAATTTATAAATATTTACATATATATATATATTTAAAAAAAGATATATCCTTTATATTTTTATTTTTTATTATTTAATTTAAAATAATTATTAATTTTTTTTTTAATATTATAAATGAATCATAGTTTATTTTTTTTTAAATTATAAATTATATAAATGAAAACAATTAAAGTAATTCTTAGATTTCTAATGAATGTATTAATTTTAAAATATATTTATATAATAATTACATGTATTTTTTTAAAGATTATTTAATTTTTTATAAAAATTTATCAGATAAATTATATTTTATATATTTAATCTTTTAATATAATTTAGTTAATCATTGATAAAACTATATGATATTTTAATAAATTATGGTAAATATTAATTCTAAATATTTCTTAATTAAAAAATTTGTGATAAAAATTTATAATTTAAAAAAAATTGCCTTATAATATATTTTTATCAAAATAAATATCTTTATTATATTATTATTTGTTTAAAATAAAATAGAAAATAAATATTTTTAAAATCTATTTTTTTTTGTTCATAATTAACTTAATAACAATAATTTTTTTTTTATTAGTTTTAAAAATAAAATATAAAAAATAAAATTTCATAAAAGCTTAAGTTCATATAATCATATACATATAATATTTTACTTAAATAATAAAAATAATATGTTAAAAAAAATTAAATATAATTATACAATTAATATTTAGAAATTTTTATTTTTATCATAATCAATATATATAAAATAGAAAATAATATTTAATATATTATTTCGCCGTAAACTAAATATACAAAATTAAAAAGATTATTAATGCCTTTAATAAAAATAAAATAAAAAAAATAATTACAAATAAGCATATTTATCAATCAATAAAAATAATTTAATATCATAATTTATAAAAATAAAAAATAATATTAAAAAAAATAATGTTCTAAAAAACTATTCTAATTAACTTATTAATATTTGTAATATTGACCTAATCTAGTCAATAACAAAATGATGACGTTGTAAATACTTCAACTGTATGTTAAGAAGGTTATTATTAAGATTAAGATACTCATGAGTGTGTTTCTTGCGAACCTAATTTCGGTAACTGTATATAATGTACTCAAAGTAGTTGCTCTAAATGTGCTACTGGATATTTAATACTTAATTCTGAAACAAAATGCATCAAAGATACTTTAATAGATAAATATACTGGAGATCATTGCAATGAAGGATGTGATATATGTTATCAATCTGGAGAATGTATGGAATGTAGGGATGGTTATTATCTAAATTTTGATGATAAAGGGGACATTACATGTCTTAGTTGTACTAGTAAAATTGAAAATTGTTAAAGATGTACTAAGAATAGTTGCACTAGATGTTAAACAGGATTTTCAAACGATAACTCTGAAAATTAATGCTAAGATTAATCTACTAGAGATGATACTAATGTATAATATGGAGAATCTTGCAGTTAAGAAGGATGTGATAAATGTTCTTAATCTGGAGAATGTTTATAATGTTAAGATGGCTTTTATTAAGATTTAGACTAAAATGGAAATAAAGTATGTATTAGTTGTAGTAGTAAATTCAGTAATTGCTAAAGATGCACTTATAATTTTTGCGAAAGATGTATTACTAGATATTCGTATAATATGTCTGAAAAATAATGCAAAGAAGGTAGTGCCATTGAATAAAATTTAGCAACTTTTTGCTTTGATGGATGTTATTCATGTAGTGATTCTGGAGAATGTAAAGAATGCTGGGATGGTTATTATGATGACTATGAAGATTAGGAAAATTAGGAAGATTAGGAAAATCATGAAAATAAAAATTGTGTAAGTTGCAGTAGTAAATTCATTAATTGTGTAACATGTGATAAAAATAGATGCACCTAATGTAGAGATGGATATAATTATAATGAATCTCAATAATAATGCTTATAAAATCCGATTTCTAGATTTTTACATAGAGTTTAAGCTAATTATTAATGATTAAATAGCTAAACAATTAAATAATAAACTATTTAATTATATAATATATCTGATTAAAATCATTAATATTATGATTTTAAATAATCATATTTTATATATATAAATTTATAACATCTATTTTTTTATTTTGTTTTATTTGAATTAAAAAAAATTATTTTTAATTTTAATAATTATTATAATTAGTATAATTACTATTTTTATAAAAATAAAAAATCTTTATTTTTTTTATTTTTTTAAAATATAAAATCTAAATTATACATAATATTTAATATAAAATTCAAAATTAAATATGTTTTTATTTTTTTTTAATAATATAAAAATTATGTTTATAATAATAAATTATTTTAAATAAAAATAATCATTTAAAACAAATATAATATTATTTCATTAATAAGTATAGATTTATAATAATATTTATTTAAATATTAAATTTTGATTAATTATAATTATACTTTATATTTTTATTAGCTTTTTAAAGATTATAATTAGTTAACAAATATTTACTTATTTAATAAATTTTTTATTTTTATTCTTTTTTATATTTTTTTATTATTTTATACCTAAAAATTGTAAACTTTGTATGGTTAGCAGCTTTATCATTATTAATTAATAAAAAAAATTATATTATTGATATTTTAACTTTCATGCAATAATAAACAGGTGGCGATTATTACAAAATATGCAAATAATCTAATAAATATTTTTGGGGAGTCGTTTATATTTAATTTGATTTTTATTTTATTTCAATTGTTGCGGCTAAAAGAATTTCATGATCGAATTTTATATGTATTTTATTAAGTTAAATTTAATAATATACATAAATGAAACCTTTTTTAGGCTTCTAGAAGAGGTTTCGGGCTTAGATAAATATATTTTGGTTAAAATTTTTTGAGTTAAGTTTGCATATTCTATAGTATTTTCGTTTACTCCTAATTATTGTATTTTTGTATGTCCTCTGTTCAAAAAAGGGAGTATGTATAAATGCCAATGTATTTTCCATCTTGATTTGGAAGTGTTAATCGCTATATAGAATGCTTTGAAGCAATTAAACTTTTGTAATGAACTTGTGTATTTCAGGTAAATTCTTTAACACATATAATACTTAAATTCAGATTAATTATTCTTTAAGCCTTTACAAAAGTGTTGGAAAATGCGAACGATGTAGAAGAAATTATTCTAGATCAGCTAATGAGAGCACAGTATTTTTTAAGCAACTAGCTTGTTGATAAATATAATGAGAAGTAAGGATTTTTTCCTAATTAAACACCGAATATTTGCAAGTGAAAAAAAGGGTTTTTTAATTATAATAATAGTAGTATTTAAGTTAATTCCCTTTTAGGATTTTTCGAAAACTATGAAAAGGTTTAGATCTAAAATGCACTTTGCGTTTAGTAATATTACTTATTATGTAATGCTAATAATATAGCCTATTAATTTATTTGTGAGGGAATAAAATTATTAAGTATTAATGGTAGTTGTGTTAATTAATGATCTGATGTTAATTTTTTACTTTTATCATGCTAATATTGTATTTATCGATTGTTATTTTGATTATTATATTAAAATTTGTATTTGAATTTTCCTTATTGTTAAATCTGTTATTAATATTTATATAATAAATTATTAGCGAATTCTAATTGAATTCAAATAAAAGAATATGTGAAATAATAACTTCAGGAAGATTTACATATGAAAATACTGTATAAGAATGATCTTAGGAATTTTTTCTTAACATGGTAAATATTTATAATTTTAAAATAGTTTTTATGATTGTTTGTTTAAATAACTACACAAATAAATTAATAATGGTCTTAGTTACATTATTAAATTTAGTAATTGTAGTTCTTGTAATTCAAGTCTTGCTTTAGTTGTATTCTTAGATAAATATAAATATTATTATTATGAAAATAAATGTTATAAAATTACTAAAGAGAATAGAATTAATGATTTGTGTAAAATATTTAGATAGTAAAATCATACTAAAATGCGTATATTTTTTTAATTAAGATTTTATATTTTAAAAAGAATTAAATATAACTTATATTACGAATAAAGTAGTAATTTTAAGTAATTGTATAACATACAATCAATTAAAATGCAATAATTTTATTACGAGATATTAATTAGTGGTGGTAAAAAAAAATTATTAACCCCATCTGCTAAATTTTTACTTTAGGCTTAAGGCGATAATTCATAATAGAATAGTAATTAAAGATTTGCTATTAATTTGTAAATTTTAAATATCTTAATGTAAAATAAATAATTGTATCGGAATGATTAAGAAATATTAAGGCTTCAAATAATTAAATATTAAAAAATTATTTGAAAAAGATATTACTTGTGTAGATTAATACTAATTATTAAGAGGTTAATATACAAAAAAATAAAAATAAAAATTTAAATTTAATTTATCAAATCAAAAACAATACAATTTTATTTTCATTAAAAAATAATATTTGATAAACAATTAAAAAATAATTATTTATAAATATTATAAAATTTTTAATATTATTAATAGATAACAAATTAATTTTAAATTATTTAAAATTTTATTTTAATATTATATATATATATATATATTATATATATTATTTTTTATTTTTAAAATTTTTAATATTTTATATTATTAAATTATATAAAAGAGAATGATTTTTTACGTTTATTAAAATATCTAAATTATTAATTTATATTAATATAAAATAAAACAAGTTTATTAATAAAATTTAAAATATTTTAAATAAAAATTATTTATTAAATAATGCTTATGAGTACTATAATTTTATAAAAAAATAATTAAATATACAATTTTAAACCAAAGATATTTTAATTCTTATAAATAATTAGTTTTTTAAATTGGATTTTTATATCCTAAATGTTTAATTTATTATATTAATTAAATAAACTTAATTTTATAAATATATTTAATTTCTTTATAAAATAAAATTAAATTTCTAAATTTATAAAATAATTTTTTTTTTAAAATATAAACTATCATATATTTTTATCAAATAACAAAAATAAAAAAGTAAATATTTAACCATTTATTTATATAATTATTTTATATAAATTTCTATATTTTAATATATATAAATAAGTACAAAATTATTTATGTATCAATTTAATTAAAAGGATTCTTTAATTTTATTAATAGTTTTTTTTGACAATTAATTTAACTTTACTTAGAATTTATCTTTTTAAGTTTAAAAAATTAACTATGGCTCATATTCTTATACAATTTTTATCAATTTAATGAGTTCTTCTTATTTAAATGAAATAAAATTTTAGGATAAAAATTATTTTTCTTAATCAGAAATTACATTTTCTTTTAAAATTAATGATTAAGGAATTTGCTAATTTAAATTTTTATTTGTATTTTAAAAAGAAGGATTAACTGTTATTCGAACTTTTTATTTCTTTTTTGATAATTATTAATTATTTTATTCATTTTTTTTTTTGATTTTCTTCATTATTTTATATTCTTTTTTATTATATTTTAAATGCTCTTTTAATTTTTTATTTGCAAGTTTTTCTAATTTTAATGATATTTAATATATTTCACTATTTTCGTCATTGTACTATCTACAGTTTTTCCAAATTAAACTTAAATCTTTTTCAAATGAAAACAATTTTTAATACTTTATATACATTATTTTATAAATATACCAATTTTAACTTAATTATTTTTACCTTTTTCAATTTTACATTCTCACCTAATGTTTATAAATCCATTGGATTTTAGACTATTTTTATATAATCTGAAAATATTTCTGTGTCTACGGGTTTTTAAAATAATTTGGATTATTAATTTTTAGTTATTTCTTCGATTATACGAAGATATTGATTATCTAAATCACTTTTTTCTTTTTTATATTATTTTAACATTTTCTTAATTTATTAATTTTTTAAAAAATATAAATTATATTTAAATATAAAATATAATAATAAATACTAAATTAAATTTATTATCTTAGAATATATAAATACAAATAATATAAATCAAATATATTATATAAAAAACAAAAATAAATTAATATTTTAGGTGAATTTTATTTTTATTATTCAACTTATATTATACAAGTCATATAAAATTGTAAAGGATTATGTAATTGTACTCCTTATATGTCCGAATTTCAATTCTGAAAAAAGAGTTTGTATAAATGGCAAGCGTATAGGCCTACCTGGATTTGAATGAGTTAATTGCTATCTAGAATGTTTTTGGAGCAGTTGATAATGAAACTTTTGTAAGTGATGTAAAAGAAATTTTAGATATATAGGAATATTTGTTATAGGTGTACTTTTTATTATTTTATGACATGAATAAATATAATGGGAAGTAATGATTTCCGCCTAATTAAACTTTTGGTATTTGCTAGCTTTAGTGGTCGAAAATTTGTGCAATATTAAGTAGATAATTTCTCATTTGTGTAATGTTTGCAAATAAGGCTTTTTCTTTAATTATATAATAATAAAGTAGTGTTTAATTTAATTTTATTTAGGATTTTTTTAAAAAAACTAAAAAGTTTAATCTTGTGAGAAACTTTCTTTTGGCTTTCTTTAATAAAATAATACTTTATAAATAATTAGCACGTGATAATAATTTTTTAAAAAAGAGATTTAGATTAAAATGTATATGTTTAGTATAAGTAATTTTATTTATTATGTAATCCTAGTAATACAGCATTATGTTTTATTTTCGAGGGAAGTAAATTTAGTAAGCATAGATGGTAGTCGTGTAGATGAATGGTTTGATGCTGGCTTTTTGCTAAGGACATTAATAATTTTATGAAAAGGTAGATTATAAAATTAAAGCTTGTAATAAATATCCTGTTATTATTACTAAATTTAATAAATTTATTAATAAATATTTTAATCAAATTCAACCAAAAGAATATATGAAGCTATTTCTTTAGGAGAATAAACAGGTGGAAATGCTTGAAATAGATACACTTATGAAATTTATGAAAATTAATTAATCTGAAAAATGTTATATACTTAGTTGT